GTTCCATAAAACCCCTTTTTTGTATTAACTTCCTAGCTGTTAGTTATGTCAGTATGTTACCATCTAGCTCAATCATAAAATTTCAGAAAAAGCAATAGTAAATATAATAAATGAACAATGAGAAGGGCAATGCAAAGGACAAACTCATCTCAGTCAGAGATCCGAGTCAATATCAATTAAGGTAGCACAATCCAACGCTGCCCGAGTTAATTAATTTTAAAATTTTAACAAGGCAATATGGCATTGCATACTAAAAAGAGACATTCTTCGGTTGTTCTTTATATTATCTGCATTATTAATAGGCGAAAGAGAAATTGTAGTCATATATATTTTAAATTAAAATCCATCACCATAGAAAATGAAAAGATATTCAAAATTCATTCTTCATGTAGCAAGCACAAGTTGATACACATACCATCTGCAATAAACAAAATGTGCTTCAAAATCAATTATTTACCAAACTAGCTAACCTCAAAGTCCGAAAAAACTAACCTGTTCACGATGACCCTGTGGGAAATAAACAACCCTACTTCCAACAGGAGGTAGAGAAACAAGAGGTCCCACACATGCATGCCAAAGTTCAGAGTTGAGAACCCTTTTTTCCCCTGCAAAACATATTTTACATTAATGCAAAACTCCAACCAAAAAGCAAAATGAAGATATAAACAACTACAATCATATTGATCTTAACCACTAAAGAGTAATGCAAAATAGGTCCTCTAAAGGTCTTATGATGACCTTGAACACCTTCCAACAACACGGGTCCACATTAAATTCAAAATTAAAGCTTGTTATCACAGGATGATTAGAACATACCTAGAGTTGGAGAGTTTGAAAAGAATCTGAGGCAGAGCTGCAGAGGAGGAAGCCACGCGACAACAGAAAGAGAAAGAGGACGACCCAACCTTGGAGGAGCTGGAGGTGAGCGGTGCTGACTTGCAATGACGGGCTGATGGTAGGGTGCCACGGTGAGAGGCTGGCTGAGCTGACCCAGCAACAGCCTTGGAGCTCAGCTAGAGGTGAGCGGTGAGTTGCAGGGTAGCAAGGGCCAAGGGCTGTAGTGATGGCACCGTGAGTCGTCTGTCCGTGAGAGGTTGAGAGTTGAAGGGTATCGCTGTGAAGGTGAGTCGACCGAGAGAGTAGAGTAGGCACGGTGAGTCGCAGAGTCGGTGAGAGGTGAGAGCTGAAAGAGTGAAGGGAAGCACTGATTGGTTCGATTCACAGTGGGCCGTGGAGAATCTGGAGATGAGGGTTGAGTTTGAGCATGAGTGAGAGTGAAGAGTGTGAGTGTGACAGAGGATTAGAGGAGAGGTCCGAGAGAAAAGTCGACCGAGAGGCGAGAGAGGAGTGGGAAATCCCTAATTCAGAATTTGCAAGAAGCGGCAAGCAAAAAAAGGGGCTGATTCAGCTGAAAGTAAAAATGTAAAATGTCTTTCTGCTAGGCAACTAGGGTTATATGTAAATTGGGCTGTAAATTGTGAATTTGGGCAATTAAGTTTAGGAAATAAGGATATTAGATTCACAAAAAAAAAAATTGGGTTGGGCTGAGAAGTGAGAATTGGGTTTGGAAAATTTGAATAAAGAATGGATTGTGAAATTTAAGTTATGTTGGTATTGGGTTAG